GACTCTTTTCTCTGGTTCTTCTGTGAGTTTTCGCCCCTTGGGGGGGGGGGGGGTATGGCGGGGTCAAGGTTTTGTTTCGGGTTTCCTTTGGATTGCGTAACGTTCCCAAGCTCAATAATGTCTTTGTAACGAGCGCGTAACACTATTTGTGCATCAACGTCCGTCTCACAGCTGTATCTCTTTCTCACTGGAACTCCCAAATACCCAAGAGTTTCCCAACAACCTCCGGTATCGTCCCAAAAAAGAGAGGACGACAAACCCATTACCCTCCTCAGGGACCAAGGTAAGAGGAAGATTTTGGCAGCGAATGTCACAAGGATCATCTGCCATGGCTTCCTTCAGGTGCGAGCTAGCAACACGTCAAGGGTTTTAAGCAGCTCGGTGTCTCTTTCTTTATTTCTTTCCTCATCAAATTGTCTAGCATTGCCCTTTAGGGAGGTTCGTCAACAAACATGTATTGCACTAGTCTTTCATTGTACGTTATTTCTCGCTCTTGACAATGTCTTGAAGACTGCATTATTAATCTCAAATGTATCTTCCCATTTCATTGAGAAAACATTCTCGAGCAGAAATCATTTTGGTTTCGTCTCATTCATTACTCTTAGGACATCCACACCTTTTCAGTACGATTTTTCCTCTCCCCGAAGCTCAGACATAGCCAAATCCACATGCATTTTTCCCGGGTCATTCCTCCCGGCCTTTCTCAGGTCCTGCTAATTCCGCATGCATATCATCCTCTGGCCTTTCTTGCCCTTTACTTAATTGACTCTCCATGTGCAATGCTTGGTTTACCCCTTAGCCACTTCTCATCTTTTCAAGCTTATACGAGCCAATTACACAGCCAACTCTAAGTCTGCTAGTTCCTTTCTCAGGTCCACGCAGAATCAATCACACCAGTCCTTTCCTTCCTGGCTATCTTGCCAGGCCATTTTTCTCAAGTTCATACCGTGTCACTTGCTCAAGTCCCTTCTGTCTCGGCCTCTTGTCAGGCCTCCCCTTTTCTCAGGCCCATGCAAACTGATGACAAGTCTTTCTCTTTTCTATGCGTCTTGCCAGACCCCTTTTCTCAGACCCATGCAAAACCAATTACAGGTATTTTTTTCATGCGTATTTATTGGTAGATGGCGTACCTTCCCCCCACTCAAAACGCGATGTCCCCATCGCGCGACTGGTTCTCACTCGGAGGTATGTAGACCTTTGGCCCGCCAACCGCAAGTCAAGGACACAAGCCCATCCGCTCCACAAAATGAGGAGTGATCAGTTCCTCCCCAGCGAACGAAGGCTCATCCTTCTACTCGGTTCGGCCTTTATTCTCTCACGTGGCGAGCACCAATACTGAGGTTCCTCCCTGCGTCTGTAAGGTAGGTCCAATCCAAGCCTGTCAGAGCCTCGTCTAGCCGTAAGAATGTTCCTCGCGAATCGTTTCTCCCGAATGACGGTTTTCTGGATTCTGGCCTATTCCTTTGAAGAGAGTTGCGGCTCTCGGTTAGTTCGCGAGTGCAGTTACGAAGACCTCGCAATTAATCCCGAAACGGTTGTAATGTTCCGGCAGGGCAGTGTCAATGCCCCGTGGTGGTGGTGGACTCCACCCGGTACCTCGCCGACTTCTCCCCTTGGACAGTGCCGCCCAACTTAGTGCGGGCAGCCGTGGTCCGACCCAAACGGCCATGCCACCCCTCTATGACGTGGCGTGTGGTTGGAGAGTAGCAAAATAGACTAGATGAGAATGACTTTCCTGCCCATTTGACTCTCCCGCCCTTTGACGTTTAGGCGTTCAACAGGAGGCGCAGTTGGAACTCCCCGACTAGAGCTCATTGTCGGAGGTGGTTCCGGACGTCCCGCACCGATCCAAGTGGTAGGTGCCTTCGTCCTTTAACGCTTACCCTCTCGAAGGGGAACATGCCGCGCTGAGACTTTTTCCCTCAAAGGGATAGAGGTCTTTGGGGTTGCTATGCATGCACCGCTATCCCCCTCTTGTTGAGGCCAAAGACTAGAAGAAAAGAGAAATTTCATTTCAAAGCTCTTTCTAAGTCCATTTCCAGTTGCCTAGGGTCCCCTGTTTATGCAATGCAATTTCCAATACTCAATCCAATTTCAATGCTCAGTCTCATTCCCATGCTCAATCTCAGTCAGTGTTCATTTTCAGTCCAATGCTCAATGCAATATCTCTTCCCAGGCTGAGTCCAATATCTCTTCCGATGTCGTTTCCAAGGCTCAACTCTTCTGATGTCTTTTCCAAGGCTCAACTATTCGAATGTCTTTTCCAAAGCTCCGCACTTTCCAATATCTTTTCAGAGGCTCAGCTCTTCCAATGTCATGCATCTCAAGCAGCCATGCAAGGGGACCCCAGTGCCAATTCCAAAGAATGACCCTTGTCAGGGGCCATTCCGAACAACCTGGTTAAGGTCGTTCTTTCCATTTCCAAGTCAACCAGCCTAGTTAGGGTCATTCTTATCCATTGCAATCGGACAGCCTGGTTAGGATCATCCTTATCCATTTCAATTGGATAGCCTGGTTAGGGTCATCCTTGTCCATTTCAATGTTAGCGCCCGAGGGGGTGGACCTCGAGGACACGGATCCTATCTCGTCTCGGGGGTTAGAAGGCGGCCATCGTCTTGGGTTTTTATGCGTGCTCCTTCCTTTTCCCTCATGCCATTTGCCAATCTTACATCCATCCGTACATCCGACTTAGCATCTAATGCTCGAGTTGGAGGTGGCATCCCCAAGCAGCACTAACCCACCCGACCGTTCAACCATTACAAGGGGTGCTGACTCCTTTCCATGTTTTCTCTTTCTCTGGACTCACATGCATTTTGTTGTTCTGGAGTGACGTGGAACCGGTTGGATTAGGCTCTTAGGGAAGAGAGTTCTTCATGCCTCTTTACCCATAGGTCCCCTAATCTCCCACAAGGACTTGTGCAAGGACTCATTCAATCATGGACATAGAAATAAAAGGAAAAACTCTCGTCATCAACGTTTCTTCGAATGTCCAGAAGTTTACATGTCCTCGTCCCTGACCTTAAGACAACATCGATCATCCCCAGTCCCTTTCTTACTATCAAAAAGGCTCATATTTCCCGAAAGGAGCGAGTACTCATGCAAAGTAGCACTGGTCAGCCCCCCCCCCCCCTACTAGTTTCCTCAATCCAAAAAATAGTTTCATTGCAGTCCTTCCCCAAAAAAGAGGAGACAAAGTTCGAATGCAATGACAACATTACAGACTCTTAGGTCCCCGTTGTTTTCCCCTTGCTTGCCCTTAGCCAACGCAAGCAGTCACAATTCTATATCTAAGTGCACTGATCCTTATGTGTTTTTCCYGAAGAAGCAACGACTCATACGAAGTAGCACCCATTGCCCAGTCCTTAGTCAAAAGTTGTCTCATCTCAATCCATTTAACAGAGTTCAAGTGCGAAACTCAAAATGGTCGTTGTGCCTGCCCAGGTACCAACCCTCCCCGAATTTTCAGCTATGCCCATCATGCCTGCTGTCCCCTTTTACTGCCCAAATTCTTTTTTCCATGGGTCTTTTTCTTCCCCTGGGTCCTCCTCTCTTCCCCGATCTTCCCTTGTGGGCGTTGTCACTTCGTCCTCTTCTTCCCCGCTACTGAGGTCTATGACCTCGATGGACTCCTCCTCCTCCAACCTTAGCCTTTTCCCCGGGTTCCTCTCTTCCTCCCTGCTGGTATCGCTTTCAGAGGGGAGGACTATTGGCTCCCCCTCCCTTGGTGGTGAAGGTCCCCTAGTCCCTTGCTTTCTCCCCCCCTGTTCACAACCAGGTTGTAATCAAACCCTACATACAATTTCCTTTTCCTGGAGCTTGATTCTCCAGCCTGTCTCGACGACTGTCCCTCAATAGGCCTATTGATGGGGTTGCTGTCATTTTCATTTCCGAACTCCATCTTGCTGTTTTCTCCTTGCCTGGTCCTGTTCATGCATAACTGTTACCGCAACCCCTCATACACACGCATTCCCTTCCACTCCCATTTGCAGCCTTGGAGGCTTCCCTAGAACTCTTGCTTGCCCCCATATAGTTGGTAATCTCATTATCCCTTAGAACCCTCGACACATTGTCCCAACACATAGGCGCCCCATGTAGGCAGTCCCCAGCATCACCCCACAAAAACTATAGTACATTGTCCCAGCACATAAATACCTCGTGTAGGCAGTCCCCAACGTTACCCCACAAAAAACTATAATACACTGTCTCGTGCTCCCAAGCCCAGTCACAGTCAGCCCAGGCAGTCTCCCCACGTTCCACAAAAAGCACGACACACAAACGAACAATCCCTGTGGTCATGATCACTTCCACAGGGAGGCGGTCCATAACTTACAGCCAGTTGCCTGCCTTTCAGGTTGTCAATTCCCCAGTTTCCCTGTCATGGGCTTCTTGTAACCATTGTTCCACCGGATCCCTGCTAAAAAATATGGCCAGTCTCTATCCCAGAAATGGTCCTCTTATGCTAGTACCATCAAGATCCTCAAGTTCGAACGTATTCAGTCCCATCCGCTTAGCGATCTTGTAAGGCCTTTTAAATCTCTTTCCCAGTTGCCCAGACCATGTGCTTTCAAGGGCCAAGTTTCTAAATAACACTTTCTCCCCCACCTGAAGTGGCTCCTTCCGAATGTTCTTGACCTGGTCCCACCTTGCTTTGTCCTTCATTCGGCTATCCGTTACACGGTTAACTACTTCCTCCAATGCCTCCTCATTTCTGGCGACCTGCTGACAACGTGCGGTGATTAACTCCTCTGTGGTCAAGTGCGGATTATCGTCTAACCTGTTCCAGGTAGGGACGAGGGCCTCCACTGGGAAGTCAATCTCCCTTCCATACCATAGCTCCGCTGGAATGCATCCCGTCGTTCTCTTTGGTGTCATGTTCTCAGAGAAGACTGCCTGCTTAAGGTACCGTGGCCAATTCCCCAAGTTGTCTGCTGCAAGCTTAGCGATTGTGTTTTTCAAGGTTCGGTGCCCCCTTTCTACTGGTGCATTTGCCTCAGGGTGGTAGGGCTCAGTAATCTTGATTGGTACGCACAGTGACTTAAGCCTGATCAACACCTCCTGGTTAACGAATTATGTCCCATTGTCTGCTATAAACCTGCGCACGAAGGGGTGTCTTAGGTAGAAATCTTCCACCCAGTCGACCACTGCTTTCCCCGTCTTTTTTTTTAGGGTTACGGCCTCTACATAGCCACGGAGATTATCCCTTGCATCCATGATGTATCTAAACCCATCCGTCGATACGGGCATAACCGCAAGATCGAGGTGAACAAGGTGTCCGGGTCCCAGTACCCGAGTGGGTCTAAGGGGCTCGTAAACTCGTACGGAGCTCCTCTCTTGATATATCAGACACGTCTGACAGTACATTGCGACCATGCCTGCCATTCCTGGCCAAAAATACAGGGGCACGATCTTTGCAAGTGTCCCCTTTGACGACCGGTGACCCCCAGCTAGCCCATCATGCATTGCCTGAATTACGTTCAGCTGCCTAGACCTTCCACAAATGACACACCTAGGCATCATCCCTTTCTCTTTCTTAAACAGGTGGTCATTTCTTAAGACGTACTTCTCAGCTTCCTCCCTTGCCTTGGAGGTGACTGCCGTGGGTTGTTTGTTCCCTACAAGCAGCAGACCGGTTTCTCTAAAGACGCCCTCATACATTTGTATGAGGAAGAATTCGTGTTCCTTCTGATCCGTATCCTTCTCCTCCCGGGTCTGGTTGACTAGGTACCGGCACTCCTTCTGCGCCCAGGTTTCGGCCAACGTCATCACGACGTCCCGTCCCCCTTCCACGTACATTGCCATCAGTTCCTCTCTGGCCCCTACTTCTGCTCCCCACGAGTCATTTTCCTCTTTGCGCCTGACCGTGGTGACTGGTCCTTCCCTTAGTTCTGCAACTACTGCAGGCATGCCCTTTTCCAAGGTCTGAATCAGCAGCTGGCCTGTTGTAAGCGTTGAGTCGGCCATTTCGTTATCCACGACAAGGGTCCCCCCTTCGTAATCTAAGAAGGCGTCAATTGGTTCCGCGTCCTCTGTTCCCTCCGGCGTGATGCATACCCTACTAAACCCATCTGCCCTGTTTCGAAGCCCCGCGATCCGCTCGACCTTGTTGTCGAACTGCCATATGAAGCCTATCCATCTACCGACGCTCGAATCTATAGGCTTGTAATTCTTCAGTGCCCCGACAACATTGGTGGGATCGATCCTTAAGATGAATCGCCTTCCGAACAGATATGCCTGGAAGGTCTTCAGGCAATGTAGGATGGCTAAGACCTCCTTCTTGAACTGCGAGTACCACCGTTCTGCTGAATTCAAGGTCCTACTCTCGAATCTGATTGGTCTTTCCTTAACCTCCTCACTTTTTTGTATCAATACGCCTCCTACTGCCATTGGGCCGCCATCTGTCTCTAGGATGAAGGGCCGTCCTACTTCGTCATTGAAGCAAGGTGCTGCTAAGATAACCTGATCGGACGATAGGATGTCTTTCAAGGTCAGGGCTACCTCTTCCCTATCCTCGGTCCAATCCATAGTGTCACCTTCCCTAATCATCGCGCGGATAGGTTCTGCTATCTTTGTGAAACCTTTGATGAAGATCCTCCAGAATCCAACCACCCCTAGAAAGGCTCGTACTCCCGTCGTGGTACGCAGGGGTGTCGGCCACTAAGAGATCTTATCTATCTTTGCTGGGTCGGGTCTCCTCCCATAGGCCCCACAGCGAAATCCCAGTATAGTTACCTCCGGGACAGCCAGGATGCTCTTTGGCCCACTTACGGTAATATTATAGAGCAAGAACCGTTGTAGGAGATCCTTGATATCCTGCAGGTGATCCCAGACAAATTTTCGCACACCCGGCTCGACCTCCGTCTCGTCCTTGTACCTTGCGCCTTTTACATGATTATCATCTATATACGGTTCACACTTTTCTGGAAACATATCCCCTGTGACGGCGAGCATCCTCCTCTGCGCCTCTGCTACCGCATTTGTGAAACCCATAGGGGTCACTTGCATCTGCAACTGTCCTACAGGGGTGTGCATTGCGGTGTACCGTCTATCCCTCGCATCGAGCGGCAACTGGTCATATCCTGAGTACAAGTCTACCAGGGAGTAAATGCTCCGCCCCGCATGAGATTCTGCCAACAAATCGGTCTGTGGAAGCGAGCCTGTGTCCCCAATTGTTACCGCATTGAGCTTCTGCACGTCTTGGATCCACCTGAGCGTCTTATTAGGCTTCCTGAACACGAACCACTTGTTCGTGTAGGGGGATGCGGTGGGTTCAGCCACGAAAGAATTTATCTCGGCTCTGAGCAGGTCGGTGACCTCCGCTGCTATCCCAAACTCATAGGCGGACCCTTTATCATTCCAACACTTGTGCTGTACGGTGTGGATCCTGACAGGGGGAACTAGCTTTGCGTCCAATCGCCCTTTATGATGATCGTTGAAAGCGAAAGCTAAATGAAACTCCTGACATGCCTTTCTTATCAACTGAGTTTCTTCCGGTGTTAGGAACCCTTCCACTGTTATTTTCATGGTATCTGCTACGTCATCTGGTATGCGATGACCTTCCGTTGCGCGTCTCTCCCTTAGAACCCGTAGGATCTCCTCTTCCTTTTCCATGACCTCTTCCCTTGATGTTTCTACTAGGATCGACACCGGCTTCGCCTTCTTCCCTATGGGTTTGTATTTTTGCACACTGCCCTTTGGGATCATTCTCCTAAAAAATAAACGGTCGGAATCAGCCTTGCTACCTCCAAGACGCGGGGCTGGATGCTGACTAGCTTCCCATTCAGATAGTAGCCCTTTCGGACCCCATCCTCGAATCTAGCAAGCGCTGCGGGGTCCACCCCCACTTTGTGGTACCTGATGGCCTTAACGAGTTGTAACAAATCTGGGATTTCAAGCACGACCTCCAACGTTTCATTCCGGCCTCCCTTTGGTTTGGGCAGGCTGGCCCCAAGTTCGACTTCCGACTCTTTTTCTGCCGCCATAACTTTCAGGGTCTCGTCCTCTTGCCTCCTCTTCTTCAGGGATAGACCCATCTTGATCCACTCTTTCTTGCTAAAGGCTTCCTCAATCATGATTTATTTTCTTTCTCTCATACTTTTCATTCGTGCGAATGCCCCCCTCCCTGCACTTTCTTCGAATGTTGGCGAGCAGGTTGCCAATTTGCCCTTCGGAGGGTCCCCTCCAGTTCCGAGGAGTCGGAGGAGTTCCCCTCGACCTGTCACCGGATCCTCTATGTCTACCATGTATGTGCCGTCATGCAAGTGCATGCCAATCATTTCTACATTGGCGCACCAAGGTCTCCCAAGGATTATGTCATAGTCCATTTCTTCCATGACGGTCATCCGTTGGAAAGACCAGATGGATTCCCGAATTCTTGCCCTGACCGCGCATTTGGTGACATACCCAGTGAAGGGAATTTATCCGCCTGCTCCCCTGATACTCCCTGCTACTTCCTTGTTTACTGTGCACCCTGTGATTGTTGCGAAATCCTGTCGTATGAGGGTAATTTCCACGCCGTCGTCCACTAATGCATCGGTGTGGTGAGTTCCGATCTGGATTTTAAGTTTTCCTACAGGCAGTGCGTGAAAGCTAAGTTTAGTGTCAGGCGGTGCTCTCATGACTTCGCCACCTTCTCGGTCTGGCAGGTTCAGACGAATATCAGCAAAGGTTTTTTCCAAATCTTCCAGCCCCCCTGGAATGCTTTGGAGGTTAGAGACTCCTTGTGGTGCCTCGGCCTCCTCGGTTCCCTGTTCCTATGGTTCCGGGTCTCCTCTACTTCTACACGTTTACGCGTCAATAGCTGTCTGAGGCCCTTGAGCAGTCTCGGGCTTGCCTGCAGCATGGTCTGGAAGGATACCGACACCATGGTGCCCAGGAGTTTGCTCAACGTGCCATCTAATTCGGGCAGCGTCAGAATCGTACCATCCTTCAAACATTCCACCATCATGAACGCCTGGTACCTTCCCAGGGTCACGGCTCTCCATTCGGTATACCTCGGACCCTGTAGCTTGCCGGGAGCGATACCTCCCATCCGCCCCCACATTCCGTGGGTGGCCGCGAGTGCGTGAGTCGTCACGACATCCGGGCGCGTCTCATCACCATTGTCGATTAGCGGTCCCCTGCACAGTTTAAACAGCAAGTGAGTTTGCTTATTTCATCCATTCCACGGCCCTTACCTGAGCAATTCCTTGGTCCTTAGCTCAATGCCTCTTTCCCCTTCTATCTCTTTTTTTTTTTCGGCTCTTTTACCAGCCTGTTTCTACTCTCGTCGGCTCATACAATCGGTGTAAATCATCCACGTACGTCATCCCCTGACTTATTTCCCGCCGGACAACGCCCCATAGAACTTCATCACCTACGACCGGGGCCCTTGGCCTGGTGGTAAAAACGGCGCGCAGAGTCCGTAACACCTCATACTTTTGTTCCCTGCTAAATGACCCCATTTCTAGGAAGACCCGGTAGTATTCCCGGTGTATCATTGTGTCCTCATATGTCAAAGTGGCAAGGTCAGCTACCGCGCGTCTGACAAGTTCCACTCCGCCTAGCCTTTCCAGCAGCAAGGGCGGCAGTCTCATCCGGACATTCTCACTGGGTAATTCAAAGCTCCCGACCATGGCTACCCTAAGGTTTGTTATTACATCATCCATCCCTGGGTCCGCGAATTCGATTCCCGCCTGCCACACCAACTGCCACGCCCCTTCGAACAAGCTCAATGGATCCTCCCCTGATGCCAACATGACTCCAAACTCCCGCCACCCATCCTCTTACATATACAACCGCCCTTTTGCACGCACATGCCCCTGTGGGTCCGGGTTCCATTCCCCACTCTCGTCCGCACGCCACTCAACTTTTGTTACTAAGTAAACCATGTTTTCCACAAGTTCGACTCCGACCCAATCTGCCATCAGGTGCCAACCCCCACTTGCCGCCGGCAAGCTAACCTCTGCCCCACCTGGTACTTCCCTAGGCGGCTCGATGCCTAGGGGGCGTTCCTCAAGAAACGTCCTTCTTCGCGCCATCGAGCACTCGTTCTTGATCTCCTAGCTCACGATCCGCACTGAATCCCTACAATGGCCAGGCATCCCATTCCCTTATCTTAGCGTTTTTTTTTTCCATATTTGCCTAGCCCTTCGGCTTTCCCGCTCTTAGTCGAACCACAGTACTTCGAACAGTTTGAACACATCATCCACATAGCAAGGTGTTGCTGCTACCTCACGACGGATTATGGCCTCCCTAGTTTCCGGAGCTACCTCCTGCCGGTCATTCCTTTCAATATCCAAAATGATAAGGACCTCCCGGGCTCTATCGCCATGGAAGGGCCCGTATTTCAAGGACGTCCTATAGAATTCCTCTGCCAGCCATGCGCAGTTCACGTGTATTCGCTCCATCGTGTCGGCCACCTCTGTCATGTGATAAAAACCCCCAAACCAGTCCGCCACGAACTCGGGCACCCAGGTCTTGATTCGGGTGCCAGGCGGTTTAAATTCCTTTCATCCTCCCATCACGACTCTACTGATCAAAACCCCCAAACCAGTCCGTCACGAACTCGGGCACCCAGGTCTTGATTCGGGCGCCAAGCGGTTTAAATTTCTTTCATCCTCCCATCACGACTCTACTGCTGACCGTATCCCAACCATGGTTGGCGAACTTTTCCCCTGCCTGCCGAACCCTTGTTTCCGCGTCCCCTAGAAGCCACATCGGATTCTGCCCTGCCGCAAGCGTCGTGCAGAACAGGTGTCAACCTTGTTCAGAGAGAACGATCGTTCCAACCGATTCCACCCTACCTTCCGCAATCTCCTCTCATCCTTCCTTTTCCCTCAACGGGTTCCAAACACGTTCTATCCATAGGTACGACAGTTCCGGCACAATTCCATACCCCCGCCAGTCACATGTAGTCCCCTTCCACTCATTACTTGGTGGTATAGACATCTCTACTCCCCTCCCGATTCGTTTTGGTTCCCACGTGCAGTCCATTAGCTCGAGTTCCCGGACCATCACTTCCTACCTGCACAGAGTTGACAACCCGTTTCCCAGATAAGTCCCTCCATCCTTTTCAAAAGTCCCAGTCCTCTATCTCGTCCCCGCCCTCGTCATCACTGAAATCCCCCTCCTCGTCCAAGAACAGCTCTTTCACTTCTTCCAAGAAGGTTTCACCCGCCGCCACATTCCGGTAAACTATCTGCCAATGCACCGGGCTGGGAATCAAGATTTCATCCGCGTTGAGGAGGTTTCATACCTCAGCTAATTCTTCCGCCCAGTTTCCCTCAAACGGCCCCGCTTTCACCGACAGTCTAAAGAAGTCCTGTCTAGCACATTGGTACAGCCTAAGGTGCGTCATCGATTGCCATATCCGTTCCAACCTAGCCCTGGTCCCAAAGACTGCGTCCACCAGAAACGGGGGTAACACACACCTCATTGTCCTAAGGGACCGCCTCATATTTCCCCTATCCGCAAGTTTCACTCGCACCTCTATCCTTTCCATCTCCATTTTCGCCCGTTGACATGCTGCTCATATCACCTCCCGTTCCGCTTACTTAAACAACTGTTCTGGTGCCGTGCCCCATACTAGTCTTACTACCATTGCATTTTACATTTTCAGGGATACGTAGACCCATCCTCGAGCTTCCACGGTTCCCCGGAACTCTAGGTCCATCAGGCTGGGTGAAAGTCTTGTCAGGCTGACCTTAGTCCAGATTGTCTCTATCTAGAGGAACGTGTCCTTCTCGTTCAGCATCACAGTTTCATAAGTTGGCTCCAGGTCGGTCCACTTCCCTTCTTCCGGGAGAACAACAGACACCCCATCCCTTACGTCTATAGGCATTTCTGGGCCACTAGAGTAGATAGGGGGTGACAACCATCGCATCATCCCGTCTTTCCGGTGCCTGTCCTGTTTCCACATGAGAGCATCACACGGCCCCTCATGGTTAGATTGTCTTCCCTTCTAGGTGAGAATTATTTTTAGGCCCCTCTCCCAGGTCCCCTCAGCATTCCCTTTTCCTTGGTTCCACTTCCTTCCGACTCCTATCCAGCCTCATCCTCATGTTCTCTCACTAGTGCGGACTTAGACTTGGAGGTGAGAATGGACTTAGAAGCTTGGTCGTCATCCAACATTCGTCAGGCAACTTTACAGAGGGAGGCACAAAAAGCAAAATTAAGGCAAACGTCGCACACAGCTCGGTCATCTCCTCACCGACCTTTTCTCCGGAAATGGTCTCTCTACTGTTACTATCGGCAGGGTTTTATCCCATACCTCAAGCACAGTTCAACCGTCGCAAGCGCGGTACCCAGACTTTAGTGGGGGTCGCCCTCACCTTCCTGCCCAGAAGACCACATCCCGACTTGCCGCTCGTATACCCACCTTTAATCTCGGGAATCACCCCGCACATCTCGGTAGAGCCATTGGAGTCAGCCGTCCAGGCATTCACTTTCATCGGTCCGATAAGGAACAACCTTTCCCAAACCAGGCTACGAGAAACTACTGATCACCTCCCAGGCTCCGTCTTTGCCCCCATGCAGTGGTGCTCCCTCCGCCAGTCCACAGGCTACGCCCCGCCTGAGGAACGTTTCACACCCCGCCCGGCAGATCAATCGAGCCAAAGCCCGTCACCGCGCGGACGAGAATGCTAATAAGCACTCGACGTGACAAACTCCCGTTAGACAGCTCGTTGGTCTGACCCCCGCATACGAACAAACAATAGTTTGCAAAGAGAACGATGTTTGGCAACCCACAGTGGCCGGTGCAGACCCCCCCTTTCCTTCCAAATGGCAGGACGCTCGAAATCCCAATCATGCAATCACCAGTCCCAAATGGGACACACATAACACTAGTGCCTTTCCCCTGGTGCACCCAGCGCTTCCTACCCATAGCTCACAATTTTTCTCTCGGGACAGTGCGTGTCACTCACCCCTAACTTCCATACATAGTGCCCGGTTCCTTCTCGTGAGCATCTTCAAAGGTGAGCTAGTTTTTCTCGGAGTCTAGCAACTCCTTCATTCCCCTATCTTCGCTTGTGTGTCCGTTCATAGGGCAGGATTGTTCCTTCTTGATTACCCTTTGTGTTCATATGAGGTTCCTTCAAGCATTAAGTGTGGTGCGTGGAGCCCGTTGGGCTCCAGAGAAAAGGAAAGAGAGCACCTGTGTCGGTCGGATCACTCCGCTGCAGGATTTTCATCGGAACCCGGATTAGCCCGGAATCCCAATCGCCTGCCAGGTAACCGGAGCTCTTCTTTCACACGAATAGGAAGGGTCGACCTGTGGCTTGCCCAAGGCTTCCCCGGCCTGACGAACATCAGCCCGAGAGAAGGAGGACTAGAGTCACCTCCAGAGGAGATGGCTGATCGTGTGTGCAGCATGCATGTTATACCTCCAGGCCTGGCCTTGCCATGCGCCCAGCCGCCCTAAAATCTGCTTCACTCAAGGGATAGAGCATACACAAGTCCATATTCCTTATCTTCATGTTTATGTTCATGGTCATGCGTCAGGCGCCCCCCTCGAGACCATATGGGTCAGTTTAACCCAATACCCAGCATCTCCACCATTTTTGTAGGGGTCGTACCCTAAAGGACTTTCGAGCCTGACTCAACCCCACTAGGGGTCCCATTTGGCTCGACCCGCCCACGCTCACGCTCAGGGCGCAGGTCGTTCGTCCCAGGGGCACCCCCACCTAGTGCTTTGAGATGGATGGGGATGGGCCTTTTGCGAGAGGGTTTTACATTGGGGGATGTAGCTCCGCTCTCGATGGTAGCTCTTTAGGCACTCGTGGCGTTTGCTTGATTCTCTTTCGTCTGACCAGGCAATTGCTCCTTCCAATACACAGGCAGTCCAGGGAATTTATCTTCGTTTCGTGTGTACGCCAAGCGTCATCCATTGGACCACACACCTTTTCACTAAGCGTAGCGACTCAAGGCGGCCCCTGCGTCATCCTCGGGGTGGGGTGGTTTCGCCCGGACCCCTAGCCACTATATTTTTTTTGCTTGAGTCACTTGTGTTGCATTCACCTATCCAAGACCGCCCTTAGTCCTTCCGGGCGTACACTGCATTCAAGAGAGTCATTGCATTCAATCACCATGCAAGCCTCATCCGGCATCTGCCATTCATCCAAACATCCAACCGTCAAACCCATCTTGCATTCATGGTTTATGCGAGGTCTAAGTCTCTCCCTTACCCAGTTTTCCGGCGGATTTGGTCCCCCTCGACACCCATCCCGAGCTACTCACCTGCATAACACCACGCGAAGCATGGACCAAATACAATCCCCATTGGGGTCAACACACTGCCCCTTCCCACAATTCTAAGCTTCCTTTGCCCTTCGATGATCCTTTGGTTGTCTTTCCCTTCCCTCAAGCAAGCCATGCCTTCATCTTAGTCATGCAGTCGGGGAGGATGGTTGAGTCAAACTTACCTCGTTACAAAAACAACACTCCCTTCCGCTTTCTCCAATGCCCACAACAGTTCGGCGCTTTTCCTTCTTGGTGGCACAAAGGACCGACTGCCCTCCCCTTGCACTCGCTTTCCACCAAGTGAGGATCAAGTTCGTTATCGTTCGTCCCCTGGCAAGGTAACAGGTGAGGGTAGAGGTTAGTAACGTGCCATGGAAGGGAAGGGACAAGGTGAGAATTAAGGGTCAAGGACCGTGGGGGAAAGAGAGCAAGGGGAGAGAGGAGGCGAGGGGGAGGAAGAGAGAGAGAGAGACAGAGAGAGAGAGAGACAGAGAGAGAGAAAGAGGGACACAGAGAGAGAGAGAGAGAGAGAGAGAGAGAGAGAGAGAGAGAGAGACAGAACGGAGAAGGAGAGGAAGGGAAAACGAACATCGAAGTATCCCAAGATGAATCACAACACACACAAGCATCCAAATCAGTTAACACAAGATTGAGAGCACCAACACTAGGGGAAAGTTCACCGAAGCATACCCAAGATGAATCGCAACACACACAAGCATCCGAATCAGTAAAATGACAAGATTGATGACATCAACACGAGGGGAAAGTTCACCGAAGTATCCCAAGATGAATCGCAACACACACAAGCATCCAAATCAGTAAAACCACAAGATTAGGAGCATCAATACAAAGGGAAAGTTCACCGAAGTATCCCAAGATGAATCGCAACACACACAAGCAACTGAATCAGTAAAATGACAAGATTAATGACATCAACACTAGGGGAAAGTTCACCGAAGTATCCCAAGATGAATCGCAACATACACAAGCATCCAAACCAGTAAAACCACAAGATTGAGAGCATCAACACTAGGGGAAAAATCACCGAAGTATCCCAAGATGAATCGCAACACACGCAAGCATAAAAACACAAGATTGAGAGCATCAACACTAGGGGAAAGTTCACCGAAGTATCCCAAGATGAATCGCAACACACACAACCATCCAAATCAGTAAAAACACAAGTTTGAGAGCATTAACACTAGGGGAAAGTTCACCGAAGTATCCCAAGATGAATTGCAACACACACACACATCCAAATCAGTGAAAACACAAGTTTGAGAGCATCAACACTAGGGGAAAGTTCACCGAAGTATCCCATGATTTATTGCAACACACATAAGCATCCAAATCAGCAAAAGCATAAGATTGAGAGCATCAACAATAGGGGAAAGTTCACCGAAGTATCCCAAGATGAATCACAACACACACAAGCATCCAAATCAGTTAAAACACAAGATTGAGAGCATCAACACTAGGAAAAAGTTCATCGAAGTATCCCAAGATGAATGGCAACACACACAAGCATCCAAATCAGT